CTTTATTCTTATTATTGTTCCTTGCTTATTTGCCTGTTTCTGCCTATAACTCTACAGTCCATTCAGTGGATAAGGACTATGAGTTGTTCATCTTTGTATTATTTACTGTACCTCCCATGGGCCCTTACACATAGTAGGTAAATAAATATTTACAGTGTAAAATATTAAAAATTAATTAAGTGAAACTTTAGAATTCAGAGGCTTGAGTTATGCTTTAAAATTACTCTTTAATATGTATGTGATCATAAATACTTTCTCCCTTCAAAAAGCCAGAATATTACAGATGCTTTTAGTGATCCCTTTGACCGCCTTCCTTCTCTGTCCTATTTTCTTCTCTCCACCCCTAGAAATAACTTCTTTGTTTTTTATGATATATCTATTTTGATACATATAAATTTAATTAATTTCTTGAACTACTTATGGGATTCTATTGTATCATTTTTTATTTATTCTGTTAAAAGACATTTTGTTAGCTATGTTTTATAGTAAAGGCACCACTGAAAAACCTCGCACATCTTGTGTTTAAATGTTTCTCCATATGCCATAGATACAAAATTTCTGGTCATGCTACGAATGCTATAGGTCTTTTAACTTTGCTTATGGTGTCTTTAGCTGTATAGAAGTTTTAAATTTGGATGTTGTAAAATGTGTCAGTCTTTCCATTTATAGGTTTTGCTCCTGGTGTCTTCCAGCTAACAACTGTAATTTGAGCAAAAAAGTATGGCAGGCGCTGCTTGAGATATTTGCAAACAAAACAGACAAAAATTTCTGCATTTGTGAAGTTAAGAAAGCATTGTCTAACTCAAGGTCAATAATGCATTTCCTTGCAATAATTGTTAAAAATTTAACAACATTTGGATTTTTATCTATATTTTTCCATTTAGTATGTGCTAGAATCTAATTTTGTTTGTTATCCAGTACTATTTGTTGGATAGCAGTACTGTGTCCATTCGATTATAATTCCTCTTATTTTATATACCACATACCTATAAATGCTTGAATCTATTTCTGGGTTTGTTATACTGTTGAGTTTGTTACTGTACCTATAGCATACTGTTAAAATTGCTGTAGCATTGTGGTGTTTTGCTATGTAGTAAGCCAAGTTCTTCTCTTTCTTT